CCCAAGCTCAGCCTGGCACAGACACCTCCCCTCCCTCCCCTGGGTTGTTGCACAGCTCAGGAAGCTCCCTGCACCAGGGTGTCTTGCACAGCACAGAGGTAGCAGGCACTGTCAGAGACCTCCACTTCCTCCACCCGCAGGACACTGTATTTGCCCGTGGTGTTCAGATCCGTGGTGAAACGGCCGCTGTGCCTGGGGCCAGGCCCTGACAGATAGGAGAGCAGCTCTGGGGCTTGGCCTTTCCGCAGCTGGTACCAGAGCAAGGCATTAAAACCACTGATCTGGTATTTGCAGGTGGTTTGGAAGGGCTGTCCCTGCTTCACCATGACTGGTCCACCTTCCTGCATGACTGTGGTCTGCCCAGTGGTGCCTGAAAGAAAATAAATGTCAGGAGCTCCATGGGGAAATATTAGACGAACAAAAAGCAAAGGGGTGCAAAACCCTGGTGAAATAAGCTCTCTGCCCTGTAGTGGAGTCCTGAGATGTGCAGACAGACAGGCAAGAGTGATTTTGGGCAGGATTTCAGAGCTCTCAGCACAGCAGGAACCAAAGGAAAGATGTTTGTTGTCCCTGCTCCTTCTACTGCTCAGATGACCAGGGAACAGCCTGAATCTTGTGTGCTAAAGGAAAATGATGAGCCCATCGAGGTACAGCAAAAGGTTTCATCCTCCTTGCCCATCCCTGTCACCTCTGAGGGATTCTCAATCCCTGAGTACACACAATGCTGGGCTTGGAAAGAGGGAGCTCCGCTTGTGTTGCAAAACTGGACAATGTCAGTGAAATGAGAGGTGAAAGGGCCAAGAGCAGATTTGACAGGATCGGGGAATTTGCATTAGAAATGGAGGACGGTGGGATTGCAGAGGCATCTGAGACGTCCTGTGGTGACAACAGGTGGATCAGAAGAGAGGGGCAGAGGGACATAAATTGAAGGGGAGAGAAAGACAGAGAAGGGGTCTAAGGCTTCTCTTGTTTCTCTTCCCTTTTCCTTTACAGATGTAACAGCTTCTTGAGGAAACACTTGTACAATCACAAACAGAAGCAGAGATTTCTCAGCCTTTTCCCCCTTTTCACTGATATTTCCCCACATGATCCTGCTAAGGCTGTTGAGGGTTTCCTGGGGGGAAGAAAAAGAAGGGTGCCTTGGGAAAAAGGGAGGACTTACCCAGGATCTGGCCCAGGAAGAGCGTGAGGATGAGAAATGCGAGGTGCATGGCGAGAGCAAAGCTGCGTGTTCGCTGAGTGAGGAAGAGCCAGAAAGCACCTCCCAGCCCCGAGGCGACGGAGCTGCCGGAAACGGCTCCCTGGGGRCAGCRAAGGARGCAGCGAGGGGACAGAGAAATGGCGTGTCCTTGCAGTGCCTGAAATGCTCCTTCTGGGTTTGTCCCTCGTTCAGCAGCAGCTGCCGTGGCTCCCTCAGCCATTGGCGTTCTGAGCGGTCTCTGCCTCGGGGGTCTCAGTGATGGGAAGGGGCTGTTCCCGGTCCGCTCTCGGGGGATCGGCATCGCCCCCTGTTGTCCCCTGCTGTCCCCTGTTTTCCCCTGCTGTCCCCTGCTGTCCCCGCCCGCGGCGGTTCGTGCCCGGCCGCAGCCGCGGTTCTTGTGCCCGTGTCACTCAGCGCGCAGTAATACACGGCCGCGTCCCCGCGCCGGGGCCGAGCGAGGTACAGAGCGCTGGATTTGCGATCTTCCGACACCCACAGATGGCCCG